CTTGGTAAGTATTTCTAATGTAAGTAAGAATTTCCATAGGTTTGTTCAGATCTGTATTATTAGGATCCCGAATTTTGAAACAGCATGTGGTTGTATGTTTGGACTTGTAAAGAGAAAAGAAATATCTTGTAGATTTTTCTCCTTCTTCTATCCATTTTGCATTAGATCTAACTTGCCATTTTTTCGAAAGAGATACCAGTTCTTCTTGGATTTGAGCTTTGGTAAGTTCAGCGAGAAGATCGTATTCCCTTTGTTCTGGATTTTTGGCTAGTTTGTTATTAAAGTCATTTAGTTTTTTGTGAAGTTGCTGAATCTTCCATTCTGGTGAAGGTTTTAGCTTAAACACTCTGATTATCGATTGAATTGTACATTTGTAAAGATCCCAGTCTTGAACATCCTGGATGTCTTTAATCGTTTCAGTTAATTCTCTTTCGAGCTCTGGTATGGCCCAGCACTTCCTGTCAAATTTCCAACAAGTTGTGGTCTTGTACTCAGGCTTGCTTAATATTTTACTTTCTACTAATAGATGGTCTGAATTGCCAAAGCGAGTTTGAGTTTCGAAGTTAAGACATCCATAGTTGGTGTCTACAAATATATAGTCCAATCTTGTAGCCATTTTTTGGTTGCCTTGTGTATTTTGGTAAAAAGTTAGAAAAGGGCTGTTTCTTGAAAAGCTTGCAGTATCTACAAAATCTTCTAGTAGCTTTTGAAGTAGATCTCGTGAGTTATCATTTTGTATTGCTGCTTGGCTAATACGGTTTATTTTTAGATCTAAGTTTGTATTAAAGTCTCCTGCTATAATGTTAAGTGCACTGGTATCTATGGTTGGAGTCCAATTGCTGAAGAATTGAAATCTATCTTCTTGACTTGAAGGAGCATAAATGTTTGTAACAGCATATAAGCATCGCTTAAATGTGAACTTGGTTGATATTACATGGTCATTGTGTAAAATCTGAGTCTCTGTAAATTTAATATTTGACTTTTCAGCAATTTTCTTGTTGAAGTATCATTTAGGTTTGTTTCTTGTAAAAAAATTAAATCTAGCTTATAGGATTTTAGTAGTGTCATTGTTTTTTTAGCCTTAATTTTGTTATTGAGGCCCTTTACGTTCAGTGTGGTGATCTTAATCATAAGTTGAAAAGGAGAGTATTTTGCCACACTTGTGGTGATTCTGTTAATTAAGCACGCGGAGAAGTAACCCCATTGGGTTATTCTCCTTTTCTGCTTTGTTAATTCTGGTGCTTGGAGCAATAACTCCTTTCTTGCTTCTGTTTCTATATTTTCCTTTTTTTGAAGTAACCAAAGTAAATTCGGTCTTATCTTTTCCGGATACCTCATCTTGTGGAAAGAAGTCAATTTTCATTGTGTTGTCTGTAACCAGGAGTCTTGCTTCTGTTTTTGTATTATTTTCGCTCTCAGCTATTTCTATATTGGTTGTTTCTGCATCTACATCCATAATGCTATTTTCCTTTTGTTGAGAAACTTCTGGTGAGGTTGTATCAATAGCAGTACTTTGTAATTCTTCATTATCTTTCTTATCGTTTTCTATAATCATATCAGAGATATATGGGTTTTCTGAACTAAATTGAACTTGTGATTCAACTTTGTCTAAGCTCTGATTATCTGTTTTAGGCTCTCTTTGTTTCTTGTATTCTTTGACCCTTTGTCTAAACTCAATAGCGGCTTTTAGCTCCCTGCAGTCTTTCTTGATGTGTCCTGTTTGTTCACAGTAGTAGCAAACTTTCGGAGCTTCTTTCCAATCTGTTGAGACTTTATGATCTCCCACATTTGTATATCTTGGTAATCTTTGAGCCAATTCTGGGTTGTCTGTAGTTTCAAATGTGATAATCTATTGGTCTGAACATACTGATGTACCTTCGGATAGGAGTGGTTTAATTGATGCGATAGTACCTATGTCTTGAAAAGCTATCTTGACCAGTTCATTGATATGTTCTTTTTCTCCCATCAGCATGTTTCTCAGTTTTACTGAAAGAAAGGTGCGCTTGAGATTAATTGGAATGTAACCAAATAGTGTTTGGTTGAAGATATTTATTCCTTCTGAAGCATAGAGCTTTTGTTTGTCTTTATTTGCAAACACTGTTTCCAGAAAATTGCGTTTTCCTTTATGCATATATACTTTGGCTGCAAGCAAGTTTTCTTCTAGTTTGGTTGCGATAGCTAAAATAATATTGTTTGTGGATATGTTTAACAAATCCTGAATATTGAAAATAAGTGCATTTTCATTTTTCGAGTATATTTTGTGTTTGGGTACAGCATTTGTAAACGTGGCTTTTCCCCCTTTTAGTTTAGAAAAGAGGTCAGACTACTGTCTGTTTCCAGTAGGTTGGTTTCCTGTTTGGGTAGGTTGTGCTCTGCTAGTTTGTGAGCTCGGTCCATCCTTCGGTTCTGAGTTTGATGGATGTGCATCATCACGTGTTGGATCCACGTGTTGTTTTTCTGTTTGTTTGTTTATTTTATAGTAGAATTTTTACGTGTTTCGTTGTTGTTGTTCTCATTTAGAAAAGAAACTTTAGTATTATCTTTCTTGTGTTTGTTTTCCAAAATGGTTTCACTTTCTTCTGCCCAGCTTGTATTGCTGTTAATATTATTGCCGTGAGAGTTATTCTCTTGTAAACTGTTGTCTTTTTGTTGTTTTGCACTGTTTGTTGAGTTTTTTGCTGTCGCTGTAGTTTCTGGACGCAAGTTAAAGGTTTTTTCCTTGTTTTTGTTGTTGTCAAGCCTGACTCTCTTGAAGTTTGAGTTGTTCATATTTGAGAATACAAGTTTTCTTTTCTTGGGGATAAGGGCAATAGCCCTTCCAGTTGAGTTTTGAGAGAACTTGACTAAGTTTTGTTTAATAATTTTGTTTTTCTAAAAATTCCGGAGGTAAACCGGAAAGAGTTTTTGTTCCAAAAGGTCTTTTCTATTACTACAGATAACAGTTCAAATGTCAAATCTGCAATGCAACAATTAGGTGTTACTAATGTGAAATGCACTAGGCATACGCTTCAATTAAGTGTTAATTTAGGTTTAAAGGAGGTTGATAACCTTATATCAAAATGTAAATCACTTATCTTAATTTTGTCCAAAGAAAAAAAACGTAAGCAGCTTCGTGAGGCCCAATTACAAATTACTCCAAGGTTAAAAGAACCTTTGGATGTTATTAAAGATGTAAACACACACTGAAATTCTACCTTTTATGCTATTGAACGTCTCGTGCATTTAAAACCTGCCATTATACAATTATATTCAACTCTTACTAATCATACTCTTAGAGAAATGAGAAAAGAGACAGAAACCATGAGTTCTTTTATACCTTTAGCAGAAGAATTTGAATTATTAGAAGAACTTATCAAAATTCTTTCTCCTTTTGATGAAGCAACCCAATTCTTAAGTAGATCCAAATACCCAACCCTTGGGTTTATGACACCAATTTTGGAAGAACTTGCTCACCGGCTTAGGAATTTTACAGGACAAAATAGCATGGCCATTCTTGTCAAAGATACGATATTGGGGATCCAAGTGAAATAGGCATGTGCTGTTCCTTTCTCGACCCAAGATTTAAAATTTTAAATTTTTGCACTAGTGCTTTACGCCATCAACCCCCAATAATGATACAACACCAGACGCTAACGATGATAATTTGACTTTAACGTTTTCACATCCATGTAAAAAATCCAAAATGTCAACGTTTTTTACGCATTTACGAACAGAAAACTCTAATGATGAATCTAATGAGTTTGATCGGTATTGTGAACTACAAGAAGTTTCTCTTGATGAAGGATCTTGTCCTCTAGAATGGTGGCGTAAACACCAAACTCTCTTTCCTACTATGGCGATTTTGGCAAGGCAATATCTTGTGGTGCCGGCTTCCTCTATACCATCAGAGTGTTTATTCTCAGATGCTGGTAACCATGTAACGAATAAGCATAATAGACTTAGTCCAGATTTATTGAATCAATTAGTATTTCTTAAAAAAAATATGAAATATATTAAAATTGTTTCTTCACTTAACCTGGCCGGCCGGCCGGCCAGCTTTTTTTTTTAATTTCATATATAAAAAACCCATCGGTTATTAACCCTTTTTTTTTTTTACAAGCTTTCAAATTCTGACCGAGCTGGGTTATAAAAACCAATTAATTAATTTTGCATGGCCTTAAAACCACGGTTTTTTTATGTGTCGAACACTTTATTGAATACTTAATAAAAATTATATATTTTATCATTTAGCGGACAATAGGCAGCGATTTATTGTATATTTATATGTTGGTTTATTTAAAATTTGAAATTCAGCTGAATATGTATTTATTTTAAAGCAGCGCCTCTTAAGTTACTAAAAATTTATTAGCATGGTGAACATATGACTCTTTAAGCAGCACTTTCTAGTTAATTCTGTAATTTAGTCATTAGTGAGTATAAAATTATTTATTATTTCATTTAAACTTTGTGACTTACATTTATTTTTGATCAATACTTTCCAGGTTATTTAATTCATATAAAGTTTAGCTGTTATAGCTATTACTTTTAAGATCCACTATTCAAGCTTGCAAGGATTTTGTGGTTAATTGTACATATGAAAATAATTATTACTCTTTTTAATCTGCAATTTAAACATATAAGTATTTACCTATAAATGGCTTAATTCGCACTAGTTTTGGTCTGTATTAAAAAACTCTCGCATAGTATACTTGACTCTGTTATTTGATTCGTAGATATTTACATTAAATATGCTTTTCAGTTTAAATTTTAGCGAATGAAGCAAACAATTATTGTTGCGGCTGAAGCTGGAAACGGCTGAAGCTGGAAATTTTAAATATTTTATTATGAAATTTTCAAAATTT